CGGCGTTACCATGGCCGACCGAAAGCGAAACGAAGAGATTCGCAATATGGCAGGTTTGAAAGATGACCTTATCACAAAAATTGATAAGGGCGTGCTTCGGTGGTTTGGGCACGTTGAGCGAATGAGTGAAGACCGAATTGTGAAGAAAATATATAGCGCGAAAGTTAATATTAAAAGATGTCGAGGTAGACCGAGACTAACTTTCGAAGACCATGTGAGTAAATTGCTCGAAGAGGGTAGGGGTCAAGAGTACTCGGATACCTAGACGTGCATGCATGAAGAAGATAATGAATCTGAAAGAAGCGAAAGAGGTTTGTAAGGATCGTGACACTTGGCGATCTGTTCTCTCTGGCTACCCCGTCAGGGATTGTGCGTGAAGATAAGTAAGTAAGTAAGTAATTAATTAGTGAAAAACAAGATGGACTGCTCTAAAAGTTTACTTTCTTGTGTAAAAAGTGCTATTTAGAATTTTATGCAAATGATAATTAAAGTTTCTATGTTAATAAGTGTTACATAGCGGGTATTATATTCAATGGTAGCGGCCATCCATATTTGCAAAGCCAGCATCATTTTCTGTACAGAAACCGGCAAAGTGTTGCTCAAGGCACTATAAAGAAAGCAGGTGATAAAATGTTACACTCATAACTGTTAACAAAAACTGTTTTCGCAAATTGTCTTTTAGATAATAATATCTATTCCGCCGTGTTAGGTGCAGGAGCTATTATTAGAAGGAGAAGAGGTAAAATTTTGTTTTAGAAATGCGCAATCAATATTGTTTTGTCTGCAATTGAGCATAAAATAAAAAATAACTTCAGCCAAAGAGTGGCACTGGCATTATACTCAGGCCCATCAATTGGTATGGAAAAAAATAATTTTAATAGGCTTCAAAAAATCAATCAAAATTCAAAAAACATAACTATTAAAATCAAAAAATGTATATACTCGTATGTATGTCTATACATACATATAATGATTTATGGCCGCTTAGTAACTGACGGTGACTCACTATAACATCCTACAGTCACGCCGAAACTAAGAGGAGAGAATCGCTGTAGATTGGTAATAATTTATTGCGGAAATTTTGTGATAAAATTAAAAAAATATATAAACTTATCCAAATTAATCAAACTTAGTCTAACTTATTCTTATGCGTTACAAACAAAACAAATAATAAAATAGTGAGATGGCGTCAGTTTTTAAGAAGATATAACAAAAATAAACATAAAAATAAATTTCAAAAAAGTTCTGTATCTAATTGATTATATACCGCTGACACTTAGTCACGCTTTTCGAAACCACGCTAGTTGTAAGCAATACTTGTGTGAAAAGACAAAATCTTCTTTTCAAATTTCCGCCGAGTTGTAAGTAGAAGGCCAAATAGGTCACGTGCCAATTTTAATTTTATATATTTTATATGAAGTGATCTTGACTACGTTTCATCAATTAACCATTGGTAAAAATTAAAACAGGAATTTTACGATTGTGTTTACAAAAAACATTATTAGTTGAACCTTGCAGCTTGTTCATTATTTTTATTATAAATACCTATAAATGTATATAATATTAATAAATAGTTCCCATAATATATTGGATTATTTTTTATTTTGCTCTTTTCTACGCTCTATAGAAAATGTGGCGTATGACATGACTGACAATCTTTCGAACGTTTTATCTAGGTACAAAGATGTTTTACGTTTTCGTCGCCTCGACATGATATTTTTGTCAGCATAAGGTACCCTTCTATATCTGAAACGAATATAAATATTGCTACAAAGTAAAGTCCCACTACTGGGCACAGGGTTCTTTTTTTATTTCTGAGAGGGTTTTAGGGCAAGGAAATGCCCGCCGTGCTACCCCAATGCGTGTTGACGAAAATTGCAATTACAAATTTCATTCGTGCTGTCGGGGATCAAACCCGGGAAAATTTACAGCGAACGCTTTGACGACATATTTTTAATACGACACAAATAAATACGATTTAACATATATAATAAAAATCCTTACGTACTTGAAACTTGAACACTTGATAGCTCGTGATGCCTACCGGACAAAGCTACAGCACCACACCGTGCAATGTAATTGAAGATGCCTAACCGCGATATAATTCTCAGTGATGCGCAAGCATAACAGGCAGTATGTCACTTATATTATTGTCATATCTGCAGTCTATTAATCTTTGCACTTTTATTAGTAATACAGAACGTAGTTGCTAGACGGTGTTGACATCGGCTAATATCTCTGCGATCGCCGTTTCGTCAAGGTCATTCAGGCTAGTTAAAGCCATAATAATTTACTTTACTGGTTAATGTTCATATACACTTTTATATTCAGTTAATTTTCATATAAATATTTTTCTTAATCTTTTGCAGTCTTAAACTGCAATTTATTTTGTCTCTCTCTGGCAAAGATAATTTAATTACCTTAGAATACAACTCACCAACACTTAATTATGTAATTTCACAAAAGAGAAATAATAAAAACTGTATTAACCTGGAATATCAAAATATGCAGGTATGTTAGGCAAAGAACTAGGAATTTATACATATTTTATATATTACTGAACATTGGTTGAAAGAGTACACCCTATATTTAATTTCAGTAATCTCCAGGTGGTCAGTTTCTTCAATAGACATAATGAATTACGTGGTGGGTCCTTAATATTAGCTAATAAATACATTCATGTAAAGAAAGTAAAGATATTGTGAGCCTGTCTGTTGAGCGAACTGTAGAAATGGCATGTGTCGAGGTTGAGCACCTCATTGTTGTCAGAGTTTACAGACCCTCATGTTCAAGGTATGATATCTTTGAAAAAAATATGGAAGAAGTTTTAGTTAAGCTTAGTTAACAAAATAAATCTCTTGTAGTATGCGGAGACTTTAATATCAATCTCCTGGAAGCTTCTTCCATCAGTATTAAATTTTGCTCATTGTTCAAATCATACAATATTGATAATTTATTATTTGAAGCTGCACGTATTGCAGGGTGTAGTGCAACTTGTATTGATAATATTTATACAGATGTTGCACCAATCTAGAAATTCGTAATTCAAAAACTTAGTTCAAATCACTGTGGACAGCTGGTTTGCCATATATGCACAAAAAAACAGTAAATTGAGAAAATTGTATTTGTTCCGATTAATGCAAAACGCCTGGAGAGATTTAAAAGTAATATGGTAAAAAATCTTCCATCGCTTTCTTACAGGAACAATTCAAACTACTAGACACGGCGGCCAAAAGTACTTAAGTCAATTTTTGAGCTAAATTCTAAAAAAAAAAAAACAGCAATCGTGTTTTTGTATCATCCGTCGACTGGAAGAAGCACATAAGTCTCCGACGCTTAATTTAGACGCAACAGCTGACTGTACAATATAACTTATGTTTTATCAACACATCGAGCGGCGACAAAAAATACTTAAATTGACTTAAGTTTTTTTATACAGCAAGTTGGCTGACTTAAGTGGTTTTTTACAATGGTCCATTTTTGTTCTTTATAATATTATCAAGTACCTACCCTCTTTTTTAAGGGTATCATAATGTAGTAAATTTTAGTTAAGTCAAAAGAAATACACATTTCTTCATTAGTTGTTATTTGTTTCTGTGTGACGGTGGTGGTGTACGTTAAGTTAACACATTAAACGCCATGCTAATTATAACCAAAATTGATTTTTTTTGTCTTGGTGCACTTTGACGTATTATTAGGAGACATGAATATACATATATGCTAGACCGCTGTAAAAGGTATAGTTTAGAAAAAAAAAACTATAAAACCTCATGAGGTCACGGGTGTCCTACGCGGCGCGATGATATAACAAAGAGCGTTTCCGTTACCGAGACGCCGCGTTGGTCACGCTTCCGGCCACCCGCCCCCGCAGTCGATCGTCAACTTTCAATCAAATATAGGGATAGTCCAATTCAGAAGACAATTGGTAGACTACTTGACTCAGACAGAAAGTGGACCTGAAGCAAGCAATGAGCGACCAAGAAGAGTTAAACATAAGTTTCAAACCAAAGAAGGTACTGTGAGAAGTACAAGGCGTTTTTGTGCCCAATGTTATAAAACTAATGTTGATATTATGGATCCAAGGCCGCCAAAAACAAAACTAAAAAAGTCTCTACATTTTGCAGCGAATGCGATAACGAACCGCATTTATGTTTGCCTTGTTTTAATAGAATTCATAAAATATAAAGGATTAGTTTGAAACGTTTTTCTACTTTGTAAGTCCTTACATCATTGCAAATTTTGTTATTTGACTACCTTAAGTTTTGTAATAAATATAACCTTGTTTTTCCATAGGATGCTATGTTTCTTTTCATAGACAAATGTATTTAGATAAATGTTCAGAGTATACAAAAAGTGGCTTCAGTCAAAATCTAAGCCGGCTTCAGTGAAAAAAGCATAATATAGGTCTAACGTGGGAATGTATGGGTAAATGTACCTAACTTGATGCCTCCGATGTTTGCCTGAAAGTCGCGAACAGGTTAACTGATTTCGATGTAGCTTGGACCATTAGTTAAAACATTTAGTCGGAATATTCCATATTTAATTTAATTGAAATATATTTCATCGACTTTTTTCTGACAATATTTTTCGAAGTCGCTGTGTGAAGCCGGGGTGGGTCGCTAGTCAAGCCATAAATTAACGTTATGGAATGCTACATAATATTTATGAGGTTTAAAAGCCAAAACAAGTATTTTTAAAAGTAAATTAATGCTTCATTTTTTGATAATGTTGGCAAGTAGAACCGCGGACGGCAATAAGGTTTTCCTTATAACTTGAAAAAAAAATTTGCTACACAAGAACCATTCACCAAAAGTGTTCTACAGCGCCACTCCGACCACATGCTTGCTATAAATCAATGAAATCTAAGTGCTTAGCGGTAGAAATAAGGTTCAAAGTCAGATATGCCTCGAGGTCACCGGTGACCTACGTGGCGTCTAGACACGGGGAAGGGTCCGGTCACCGGTGACCTACGTGGCGTTTAATGTGTTAACTGTGTTGTAATGGATTCAAGGGCCAGAAAATTGGTGAATCTCGCTATAAATAATGACAGTGCAGAAATGAATGAGAATACAGGTATGTTGTGAACTTCTTTTTCCTGCTCTTATCCCAGTAATTTGTGTCAGGGTAAAAGTTTTTGTTGTAAATGTTAGCTTATTATTTTATTACGATGGGTAAATATACAAAACTGTTTAATAGTTTCAGTTGAGATAACCACACGTCTTTAGAAAGTTTTTTTTATATTTAAAAACATCACAATTTCCAATCTGTTATCAGTTTTTATTATTGTTGTTTTTTATAGGTGACGAAGACCCATTCAGTAATCCACACATTTTAGATGAAACAGTAAGTGACTTTTCTAGTGACGATTCTGTGGCCGATCCTAACTACTCTCCAGGTAGTTCTAGCTTACTTACACAACATAAAGAAATGGAAATTGCTGTTCCTAATGCATCAGTGGGTAAACATATAACGCCAGACTATGAGACACCTGAAAATATTGGAGATATTTCATTGCTACAATAAAACCAACCAGTGTCCTGTAGAAAAAAAAAGTAAGAAAACAAATTCAAAAGAAATCTTGGCCAATTTCATGTGACAGCTTTTGGGAAAACTATTGGAAAACGTCAAATAAAGGAATTACCTAACTGTCGGAATAAGTGCCGACAGAAAATAAGTGATGAGCAGCGCGCTTTGCTACACAAGGAGTAGTAGCCTTTCACAAAAAACAACTTTGGACTTTAATCTTACGATACATGACAACGGAACTAGAATATCAACGCACCACATGTGGCATGAGTGAATTTCGGGTCGAGGAGCTAATCAAATAGCCTCTTGTTTGTTTTTATATTTAAAAGAACTTCCTGACGAAGTTTCAGAAGTAATTTTGTACTCTGATACTTGCTTGTTGTCAGTAAAACCCTTAATTAAGTTAATAAATAAATTTATGGTACCAGGTCATACACATGTGGAGGTGGACTTGGACCATGCAATTATAGAAAAAGAAAGAAAAAAACTGAAATTGAAATTTATCACACACATGATTGGATGCAATTAGTCAAATCAAGTAGCAAAAAAATTACGTATTTAAATAATTTGCGGCAAGCTGATTTTTTTGACTTATTATTGAAAGGGCCGTTAGTAGCCCGAAAAAAAGACGATGATGGAAATATTTTCAAATGGCATGATGTGAAGTGGCTGTGATACGAAGCTGAGTATGGCGTCATAAAATACAAAAAATGTCTGTCAAGAGATGAATGTTTCAATACCATTAATTTCAAACGGAACACGCGACGAGAAAAGGAATTTAATTTGATGCAGATTACTGCAAAGCCGGTACCAATAAGCATTGAAAAAAGTGACAATATCACTTTTACATTTAATACCGAAATGTTTCCATAATTTTTACCAGAATTTAATAACTGTTGCAGACACAACTGACGTTGATCCAGATATATCAAATTCTGAAGAAAGTAGCTTTTAGTTTATTATTAAAGCTTAACTAATAAGCATTGTTATAATTATTAAATATTATTGATGGTTCATTTTTATATTCTTAAACATTAATAAGCTACATTGTTGTATGTTACAGTAATAAAAACTTAAGTTGCGATTTTTTTGCGCTCATAAAAACTTAAGTCAGATATTTCAGATAATAATAAATATGTTTGAAATATACTAAATTTAACGTGTAACTAGTTCGTGATTATGTAATAAAAAAACAATAAAAATAAAAACCGTACTTCATTTTTTTCACACCAATCGAATATAACCCTCCCCTATAAAATTTTTGCTCGCAAAAAGATTTGACTTAAGTGCTTTTAACTTCCGAGTCTAGTATATGGAGTATTATAATCCTTATAAGCTATGAATTTCAGTAACAGTCGCAAGGCATTTAATGAGGGGGCGACTGTAGGAATTCATTAGAGCAGGCGAAGGTTATAGGAACTTTACCATGAAAGATCATATAATCTTTCCGATACTTTTAGAGAATATGTCAAAAATAATTCTTAAATGTTTAAAAGAGTGTGCTCTACAGCCAAATCTGTACATATTAGCAACAAAACTAAGACCGCTAAAAATAAAATTAAAATGAAGAGGAGTACAATTAATAGCGAAACCGGTAAAGACAAACCTCGTAGCACAAACTAACAATTGAAAATTAATAATGACTTGACTAGATAAAATCAAAAAGTTGCAGCCCTCCCTCAAGTGACGGGGATAGTGCACGCAATTATTCTATTATTAGAATAGAATAATTCTATTCTTGGATTGACATAATATCAAGACGTCATATATTTCGGGAATCAAGGAAGTGACAAAACATTACTATTTAAAAATGTATTTATTATTCTCCGCGAAATTTGACACATTTTTCCATACGATGGGATCATTGCTAGCATTTGTTTGCCACGACCTGTGGCAAACAAATGCTAGCATACCATTCTGCATTAACCGGTCTTTGTCCCTCAAGAGGAATAGTCGTAACATGGCCGGTCTTGGAGACAAACGAGGCCACCATTTTTTTGCAACACTCCGTGAACTCCGTTTTTGTTGGCTTTAACTCATTTTCGAACACCCAAACTCGTGACTGGTTTTTTGTTTCGGGTTCGTACGCATATATCCAGGATTCGTCACCTGATACAATGTTGTATACAGAATTTGAAGATCCTGCGTGGAATCTTTCGAGAGTTCTGACGCACTAAGTAACGCGAGCCGCTTTTTGCTCTTCACAGAGCGAATGCGGTATCCATCGGGAAAACAACTTTTTTTCGCCTAGTTGTTCATGCAAGATTATTTGTATTTGACTCATGCCAATGTCTAAAGTTGCTTAAATTTCGCGATATGTCACATGTCGATCTTCCTCAATCTGCTTACGCACAGCATCAACGTTTTCTTGGGTGACTGCAGTTTTTGGACGACCTTCACGGGGATCATCACTGAGCTTGACACGTCCACGTTGAAATTCAGCAAACCAGCGATATATTGTGGTTTTAGAAGGGGCTTTATCACCAAATGCAGAAATCATCCGGTCAACACACAGGTTTTGTGTTAAACCACTTCGAAAGTCATAATAAATCATCGCTCTTGATTTTTCTCGAGTCAATTCCATTTTCTCAACGACTAAACAAGTTTGACAAAACCTTGTGACAAGACCGAGAATCTTTTTTTAAATAAATAAATGGTATTCGATTTTTAAAACTAAGGAGTTTTCAATTAAAAAGATTTTAATATGACAGGAACAGTGGAAATATTCCATTCCCGATACTTTTAGTGCAGGCTATGTATGTTAATTAGGTTTCATCTACATGTAGCAAAAGATAATATCCATATAAAGTAACATATTGGTAAGAATTGGATTATAAAACTAAACTCAAAGTTATTTGTAATTACCTGGTTATAAATAGTTTTTTTTTATAGATTCATCTACAAACACTAGCCATAATGAGCACTCATTTTGAAAGCGACAATAAGTATACGATCTCTGCGAGTAGTATGTACGTAGGTACCTCTGTGAAAAAGCCTAGCGATTTGTACATAGTATTTGTTACAGTTAAAAGCAATTTAATCCAATTAGTGTTAATAAACCCAATTTTATACCCTTTTGAAAAACTAACGTTGAAAACAAGCGTCCAGACGCAAACTATTTATTTTACAGCATAGCAACAATAGTTCAGCGCGGGAACAAAGGCTCGGTCCTGCAGTGCCGCAGCCAAACGCTTAGCCTCTGCGCTACGGAGTCGTCATTTAGTTTTTACTTAATTAATTATTAGTATAATAGTGCATTTTAATTTTATATTTTCTTTACACATATTTTTGTACCTAATAATTGTAGAGATATAATTACAAATTTCTGCGTGTAAAATTCAATGATTTGTTATCATAATCGGCATTTTTACTCAATTCCCAGATTAAAAAAAGTATTGCTCATAAATAATTCAGTATAGAGAAATAACTTTTATTATGTAAAAATATCGATAAACAATATATCGATAAAAGTTTTATCGATAGAATTATTCGAGGATAGACATTTACAGCACTAATAGGAATCGCCTATGTTGTCAGCACTGTTTGTCAAAAATTTATTGTCATGTCTTGATGTTGGTAGAGTAGCTTGGCGCAATGTCATACATTTACTTTTTCTTAGGAAGTCCCGCCTCTTAAACGTAGTGGTTATATTCTCTTTGGACAAAACCTTGTAACAAGACCGAGAATCTTTTTTTAAATAAATAAATGGTATTCGATTTTTAAAACCAAGGAGTTTTCAATTAAAAAGATTTTAATATGACAGGAACAGTGGAAATATTCCATTGCCGATACTTTTAGTGCAGCCTATGTATTATACTTTCATATTTTTCTACATACTATGAAATAAACATTTATAGCATTACAAAATATTAAATAAATTATGCACAAGCTTACAGTAGTAACCGAGCTTTGCCACATGTCCCAACCACACAATGCATTTAAAGTAGGATCATAAAGCTTTTACTCAAACACACGACAAAATTTGAACGACCGCCTCGAGGTAGCTTTATGTATGAAATATGTAAACCGGTTTACGACTGTGAATACATTTCAATCCAAATTTTAATATTGTTTTGCAAGTAACTAAGTGAATAAGTGGCTTTATTATAACATTTTTATAACGTAATATCCACAGTGTGGGATGGCGTAAAAGAAACGTCTCGTGGTATCTTATTACTTTTTTTCATTAGCAACCTGTACAACCCCACTGCTATATCACGTTTGATGATCGCAGTGCGAGACGTCTTGCACATTTGACGCTCCTGCCCCTTGTCAGTTTGGCAATTTCACATCGGACGTAAACGTAATGTTTATACTGCCGATTATCGGAAGTCTTTATTCTGGCATGTCCCGTAGTGTCTTACGACACTCACGGGACGAAATGGGCTGACAGATTTTCATTTTTCGCTACCAAACTGGTGTATCGACACTAAAATCATAAAGTATTTCGTTATTAATTATAAATAATATTTTAGTCACATTCATGTTCATAATTTTAAAATATAATATTGCTTATATAATTGATGTAAATTATTAAGTAACAGTTGAGTAACTGTACGTATATAACTTGCAGTAGTAAATAACGAAGGGTTCATAATCGGTTGTATGTTGCAATTGTTGCAGTAGCAGTAGTTCGAGCTATAAGCCCTGTATATTTCCTATCTTTCTCTCTGATCCGTTGGGCGATGTTGATTGCTCTGATACGGGTGCTAATATCTTAATTTCAAATTCTATTGTGCAAACTCTAAGCTTTACCCTCTCCATGGGAATCTAAAAGACCATGAGCTTCCTAATTCGGCCAGCGCTGAAGGCCATATGTCATCACTGACAAGACACACTAGTTCCTATAAAAAACATTTTTTTCAAGTTTTGTCGTAATAACTATAAATAATAAAATATGTTCTCAATTAGCGAGAACTTTTTATGTGTGTAAGTGTTGATTTTTTTACAAAATTGACTTAAAAAGTATTTCTTATCGTTAAATTGTTGATTTTTAC